GCTGCCCATTATTAATAACCATCAAGCAGATCAAGTAGAATTACTCCCTCCTCGAATTCAAGCTGTAATGGGCAAGCTGTACACACAACATCTGAGGACTGGGTTCTCCACCACCCAGTAGCGTGAACAGCCCAACGCAAACACATATGGTTTTGCAGTTGCTCTGCACTCTGTTTTCATTTATATATACGATCACTTAGATGCAGGGAAGTGGAGAGACCAGGCACGTAGCACTGAGGCTGCAGTGGGCAGTTTTGCATGCAGTGTCATGGGGGTCCAGCTGCAGAAAGCACATTTCACACAAAAACAAACGCCTTTCTAGAGACAGGGCACTGTCCAAAGTGTATTTAACTCAGAAGTGAAGCTTCCCCTGAAGGACAGTAACAAACTGATTAAAAATAATTAAAAAGAAGCCCCATTAGAGAAGAGTGAAAGAAATGAATCTGCTCAGATTAGGAAAAGATTAAGGAAATACAACAAATGTCTACAAATACTTAAACAAGATGTTACAAACTGCACAGGGATTAATTTTCCTCCTTATTCAACCAGACAATAAGAAATAATGGACTGCAGCAGAGACTGATTACAAAACACCAAATGACTCCATTTGTAACATTTGGATTGGCATCTGCTGCTGGAAGTTTCCATGAATGAGGGGTCTTCAGAAACGGGCCTTGGTGCCTGCACGAGGGAGCGAGCTGCTAACGCTGGCTGATGCTACATTAAGGAGAGTTTTGAGAACAAGCAGCTGAAACTTCCTACAATGTCTAGGAAAAATTGTGATGTGACATGCCATAAGAGGTGCCTTATGTCTGCTCAAATGGACTGCACGTGGGGCAAAGCCCCCTGGCAGTTAGACTGGGACTAAGTAAACCTTGTAAGAACGAGGCAGTATAGGAGAGGTGCTCCTATAAACACTCGGACAAAGATCAGTTCTTCAGCAAAGAATCAACAAGGTTGTTTTGCACAGATTTTCATCCTGTCCAATATAGTTATTTCGCATCAAAAAAACTTCCTTCCTTGTAAGTAATTATCTCACCTGCCGCTATAGTAGTGTCAAACTGTCTTCCCTAACATTTGTCTTTCACATTTCAAAAGAAGCCAGTCTACACTCAAGTCTTATCTGCTGAGTGAGAGAGGAGATTGGAAAGTGTATCGATCTTATGGATGTCAAGTCCTTCTAGGGAATAAAAGTTTATTGCTTTCCTGTCTCTGATAGTCTTTTGGTGAGGGTGTGGATCACAGGCTGGGAAATAGTCCTCCATGAGGAAGGAGACAGGCGTCACTACAGGGGTGAAAAGCTGGAGGAGGCAGGAGAGGAAGCAGGATGGAGGAAGCAGGAAACTGAAGGTAACATTTGAAGAGCTACTAAGTGGATTAGGAGTCCAGGGTTAGTGGAAGGTCATACAGCTTTCCGACTTCCAAACATGCAGGTTTAACCTTGTGAAGTGTGGCACAAGACAGACTTAAGTTTCATGAAATCACTAGTATATTTTTCAGGACAACATGCTGATATGTGCTAAGCTCCTACCATTCCCACCGAGAGGAATGCGGAGATCTAGATACCCTTCAACAGTTATTTTTCAGAAAATATGAAGGTATAAATTGGAAAGCACGTACTGAAAAGTTCAAACCAAGGGAATTGCTCCATTGGCTAAACATTTCCAGCCAAGTAATCCAGCCCCGAGCTTTATCTGTTGTTCTGCTGAGTTTTAAGCCAGGCTCTTCTTTTCAAGTTTAAAGAGGAAGCAAAGAAAACTCCCTACATCCACACCTATGTCCTTGGAAGACTATCACAACAGACACCAAGGCCCTGATTAGGCATCTGTAAGTCCTCATGTTGTACACGTGACTGCATGTGGAAAATCTCAACAGCACGATCAAGATTTTACAAAATAGCAGGTGAGATCTTGACCTTTTGAAACGAATTGGAATTTTGCCATTGGCCCCAGCAGGACTGGATTCAAACCTTGATACCTACCCTGAATCGCAGAGGAGCTAAGAACCTAACAGTCTGCTTGAACTTTGAATGCTCAGCACTTTTAATATTAATCCACTAGCTTACATCATTAAGTCTAAGGAATGACTTCTGAAAATCATCACCTAAAATTTTCAGCTGCAAAATTTTCTGATTTGCAGTCAACACTTTTTTTTATACCTTTAATCTGTACTTTCCTTTCAGCATAAAATGGACAAACAACTCCCTATCTCAGGATGTAGTTGGAAGGAGGGGCTCTTTAAGTCTAGATTTCTAATTTAATTAACTGTGTAGATTTAGTTAATTTCCATGCCCACACTGTAGGTCCAGGAGATCTTTCAAAGTGTCATCTGCTTGAAAAGAGGTGAGCCTCCTATCTCCACACTGTTGTGGAGATGTGGCCCTCCACCAGTTGTCTACAAGAAGTCCACTCTGCCTCAGCTGAAAAGGCAAAGGCCAGGACGTAGAGTTATATATGAGTCAGAAACAGTGGCTTACACAAAGTTTAAAATATTATGTTTATATTCTACCCCACTTCCCAAAATTCTTCCTTCACTGCCAGAAATTGAAATGCCACATCTTTTCTATTCTTTACTATCCAGTAGTACTCTTCCTTTTGATCTCGCTACCTTAGGCTGGAATGCCCTTTGCGTGGACCGTCAAGCTTACTGTATAAACCACAGTAGATTTGGTTTGAAACATCCATATCTGAAACTAGGGTGTGATTGTTCAGAGATGGTTTCTACACATAAATATTAAAGCCACAGTGCTTGTCATAGGTGTGCCCTGTAGTAATTGCCCCATCAACATTTGCCCCTAGACTAGCCCAGACCTCTCTGCAGAAGGAAACACCCATCACATCTCAGATACCTTCCCTACCCTATGGTGAACACTGATCAGTGCAGACTTCCATCCACTTTGTCCCTACAGCCCAAAGAGGCAAAAGGTGACGTGGGACAACACTACTCTTCGGATTGTTTATGGCAGCTTAACTGAGTATGTCTGTCAGCTCAGGTGTTTGACCTTGTATGTCATGGTCTTTAAACATAGGTGAGGTGGGTTTTTTTCTTCACCAACTGAATTCCCCTCCTCCCCTGTTACTGGAATTTTGTCTGCAGTCCTAACTCTAGCTTTTGTAGTCTTGCCTAGAAATAACTGGGAACTGTCGATAACAAATATTTTGTTTGTTTCCAAAGCAAGCATTCTAGCAAAACCATAATCTGTAAGTCTAGCTATATGGGTGCCACTAAAAATAATGACCAATCTGTATTAATTTCAGGTTTCTGTTCACCATACTGTCCCTAAAGGAAAAAGAACAGCTCAGGAAACCAGTGAAAAAAGCTGGCTGAATACCAAACAAAAGCCAACAGCTAAAATCCAGCTTGCTGCAGGGACACCATAAAAAAAAAAAAATCAGACCATCTGCAGCAGTCATGGCAGCAAATCATTTAGCAGTTAGTATATGCTTTTGGCTCCTGTTATTAGATAACCAATAACTGAGTTATTCTGAGTTCAGAATGATTCACATCCAGTCATGCAAATGACACATGGACCCAAAAGTGGGGGGATTGGCAGGGTCTTCTGTAACACGTGCCTTTGGAGAGAACGATGATGCCTTGTGGATAGGTTTCACAATACGGAATGGTACACGCCGCCAAAGCTATTTTCACGTTTATTTCTGATGTCTTTTACTCTCTTCTGTTTCCTCTCAACTACCTAGAAATCCTCAGTCACACAGACTGGAGGAACGTGAGCTAAATGTGATAAAAAGACAGGGATATCATATATAGCCATAGTTGAGCAGTGGGATAGTTTTGCCCAGTTCCTCTTCTGACTTAAACTCTGTTGTTCTTCATTATTTTATTAATCGATACTCTCTTTTCAGGTAAAGGCAATTTTTGTGCTCTGAGACTCAGACTCCTCTTGTGGTTTGATCTCTGCTCATTATCTCAGGCCTTAGAAAAAAGCTAGAGTCATAATTCTAATCTAAATTTATGAGGATAAAGAGACAACCACTAGCCGTTCCACACAGAGAGCATCTCTTGCAGATAAGCTAAATCTTCAAAGGGAAATCTTGTAAACTCTAACTCCTGGTGGGTAGAAGACAGCTTCAGGCTCATGCTTAAGAGGAAAGTTGATGTTGATTACTACTGCAAGCTGCTTCAGTCCAGATGATCCTTTTGTGTGCTTTAGGTCTTCTTGAGTTAAATTCCATCGTGCATTGTAGCACAAGTTCTGTTTACACTGGAAATCTGACCATCTTGGAGAACCAGGTGTCATAATATACCATTCTTCAAAGTTAGTCATGGTCCGGGGGGTTAGCCTTACACAGACAAGACTGAGCTGTGTGTGAATTAAATTCCTGAACCATAGCATATTGCTGCGAAAGTTGATGGCAAGAGCTGAATCCAGAAACATGTTTATATCTGGTTTACAGATGAAGGCTCCATCTGATTTTAACTCCTACAGTATAAGTGTATTGCCACTGAATTTGCCAACACCTTAGGAATTACAAGGTAGAAACTACAGCTATTGAAACTTCCAGAATTAGTGTAATAGACAAGATGAGACTGCATTTAAATTAAAGATAGCATCATGTTTCGGCTAAACACGTTACCATGATCAATATCAACATCAGAGTTAGGAGAATTTATTCCAATACTATTATGCTAAAAGTTGTCATCAGAAGTAGTGCTGGCACAAAAAGGGATTTGTGAGGCTTTTCTTATAAAAACTAAGAGCTGATCAGTGTAGTCCCTTTGTAACATTAGTGCCATGGGTAGAGCACACAGTTATCTGCCACAAATACTTCTACATCAGTAATCTGGAGACACACGAGTTATTTCACTCCTGCAGAGAGGGTCTTTACATGACATTCTGCTCAGCAAAGGTGCATTGCAAATCTCCAATAAGCCCCGTGCCATCTCTCAACATTAAAATACCAACGGAAAGCCAACATTTACATTTGATTCAACGGAAGCAGGTGAGCGGGGCTTTCAGCTGATGGTTTTCGGATACGTACCCAGTACAGCACATCCGTCCAGCCCTCCATGGTGATGCACTGAAACACTGTCAGCATGGCAAAAGCAAAATTGTCAAAGTTGGTAATGCCGTGCTTGGGTCCCTCCCAGCCCGCCTTGCACTCGGTGCCGTTCTGACACTGCCGCCCATGTGCAGACTGGGGGGCGCAGGGAGACGGATCGTCTTCTGCAGGGGTATCTTAAAGGAGAGGAGGGAGAAAACGGAGATGAAGAGAACTAATTGCTGTTTGACACGCTGATAGGCAAGCGAAAGAGGTCTGATTTTAATAAATCCATTTTGCAGTGAAGCTGACAGGTTTCTCTAGGAATACACAAGGAACTGTATTAACTTTAATGGGCAGAGGGATGCTTTGTTGTGCTTCACTTTCTTTTTGCAAAAATAACGGCCAAGCTGTCAAATTCTACAGTCAAAACTGAAACGCCTTTGAACACGAGAGGAAACATTAGATCAAGTCTACTACATTTCTTTAGGCTGCGTGTTACAACCGGTGTTTTCACACCACAGTCGCCTGGCACCTGGGTTAATCTTGGAAGGGAACTGAGCACTGACTGGCACTCTGTTGAAGGAGGCTGAACCCCTGCAAGCAGACAGGCTTCAGTGCTCTGGAGATAGGTTGACATGTTGCCAGGCCACTGATAAATTACAGTAGAAAGTCTCTGGAGCTCTGCTCTTTTGGAGTTTAGAAGCTGTGTGGCATTTGATCAATAGCCCAGTGGCACTCAGAAGTTCTATAGGGATCTACACTGCTTGATTATCCACCTTATTCTGCAGAGGTGCTTCCAAGCATCTGAGAACCTAGACAACAAGCTTGCCTGGATGCTTTGGTATATGCAAAATGCTACAAAAGACACTTTTATAAGCACAGAAATTCATGCAATAGGATTTTTTTAACATACAGATTTCAGCGCCTATTGCTACATTTATAACAGATGCAGGTATGTCTGCGTGTGGGAGCAGGTAATTATGTTTGTTTCTTATTTTATATGGCAAAAACTGTAATTTTCTGAAAGTTCTGATAATATCCTGATCATTAAATTATGCCAGAAATAGCAATATTAGAATCAGATGCTGTAACGTATAACAGTTACAGACAGTATGGAGAAAGACATATACACTTTAAAGACGTAAACCAGACTGATAATTCGTTATAGTTCTAGCATCATTTCCAGAAAATGAAATCTGCCGATGTTATAAAAGCAGAAAATATAGAACTTCTGAAATAATTTCCTGCTGTACAGTATTTTCTTGGTTAAGAGCTGAACTGGGTCCTAGACATTGACACCCACCACCACACAGGGAATCGCTGCTGTTCAAGTTGAATAAATCAAATGAAAAAGAGCAGATGGTTAGATGAGTGAGTGACAACACAATTGAATTCTTTTGAAATTTGAATATTTCTTTCTGTAAATAATTTGAAAGTTCTTTCCTGATGGATTTGGTGCAAAAAGTTTCTGCCCGTTAATATAATTTGGCTTTCTTATTAGCTGCACTTCTAACCACAGTAACAGCCTGTGATTAAAAAAAAAGGGTCCTGGGCCTCAGTTAGATATTTCTTTATAATGATACTGGTTTAAAATGAAGTACAGTTTTTGTGTACAAGACGAATAACAAAATATGAGTTGTTTGTTTCCATGATGCCATCTCATTTGGGGCTCAGTCTGCTAGTGGTGAAATCATCACTACTTAGAAGACAAGAACTGCGTGCCCAAGATGAGTAACCTAAGCCCTTATCATTAGAGACAGTCTGTCTGCATCAAAGGTGATTCATATCCAAGAAGCAGAACAGAGGAACCACCACTGTGGAACCCCGAACCAGTGAGCAACAGCCACCTGTCTCCTGTGCCAGCATAAACGCTCCATCATATAAGGGCAAAGCCCCCCTCAGAAAATCTTTGCATTACGATGTCGTGTTCCCCTTACCTATCAGGCCCCCTTGCACATGGTAGCAAGTCTTATGCATCTTCCCCATGAATAACTCCAGTCCAATGATGGCATAGATGATAATGACAAACAGCACCAGCAGGGCAATATGCAACAAAGGGACCATGGCCTTGATAATTGAATTTAAAACCACCTGGAGACCTGCAGAGAGAACAGAAGCACTTTTTAGCAAGAGAAAATTTAGAGAGGCTATACATTGCACAATAATATGTCATTTTTATTTCATTCCCCCTCACCTGAACTCACTATCTTGACTATGTAAGGAGGTACATTTACAGATCACCTCCCTCCAGATGATCCCCAACATTTCACCAATTTGCCATCGCAGCCTGGATCACAGACTACAGTAAAACGGGTATATGACCGTATATGACCTTACCTGTCACTGAAATACCACCACCTCGAGAAGGGAAGACATTAGCTATTTTGCCTGTTCTTGAAAACCATACCTAAGCTGATTCCCAGAGAGCATTCAGGAGAGTTAAAGCATGGGAAAAACAAAGACCAAACACAACTGAGGCAGGACAAGAACGACAGTAAGAGACAGAAGAGAGAAAACGCTGGGGTACCCCAGAGCATGGGGAGGGATGGGAAACTGAAGTCGTGTCCCTACTCCAATTTTGGGTCCTTCCAGAGGCCAAGCTAGTCTCAGGCAGAGCTTGAGCTGCTGAAGGACCACCATACCCATACTGGCTGAGAGCTACCGGCTCTCTTAGGATCCCCCTGCTCTTCAGATCCACCTTGCCTTACTTCGGTCTGAACAGAAGGAGAGTCAGAACCACCAGTGCTGGTTTTGCCCCAAGATTTAGAGATTGCTATATCCCAGAGGTTGTCCAGGTGCCCAGGAAGGGGTATGAACAAAATACTATCACACAGCTGTTAAGGCATGAGGCTGGTATAAGTCCTAATCGTGAGCGAGCCACGCACATTTCTAGATTGGCCTAGGGTGGTGAGGCACTGGAACAGGTTGCCTAGAGAAGTTGTGGATGCTTCATCCCTGGAAGTGTTCAAGGCCAGGTTGGATGAGGCTTTGAGCAACCTGGTGTAGTGGAAGGTGTCCCTGCCCATGGCAGAGAGGTTGGAACTAGATGATCTTTGAGGTCCCTTCCAACCCAAACCATTCTGTGATTCTAAGGTGACTTTGCAGCCAAGTTTGCTAAAGCACTAAGCAGTTGTACCTTCAGATGCAGTTAACTCAAGCTGCAGATTCACGGGCCGCTCTCCATCTCCTTCTCCTCCTTTGTAAAACCAGAATAACAAAGCCAGCCTCATAGGCCTTTGGTAAGAATTGGCATTTCCAAAGGTCTTAAAGCCATTATCGCTGGTGGCAGTGATGGCAACCACTATCACTGGCAAGTTATTAATGCTGGAAATATTGAGAGGCCTCTAGAAATCTCTAGTCTACAAACAGCCTGATCAGAACAATTACAAGCTCATGATTTTGCAGCGACTGAGAGCCAGAAGCCATTAGTGGCTCCTGCAAATGCTGCCATCTCCTCAGAGAAGTTGATATTAGCTGTGGTTTTGGGAAAATGTGATTCATGAGTTGTAAATGTCTTTTATACATCTGCCAAGACAGTTTGTGATAACGATTAACTTTTAAAATCTACCATCTCAGATCTTAGATTTTAATAATTTTTTTTTTTTTCCTAATTTAAGTACTTTCTAATAAGGATGACACTTCTTGACAAGCACTTTTGCTTGTAGGCAATCTACTTGTCAACTCACAGCTAAGGCTGAGACCTTGCGTGTGGTCCCCAGCCAGGAACGAACGCAGCAGAAGGGATCAAAGGTGGCATCAGCTGTCAAGCCAACAAGATTATTCACTGCCTGCTCATAATCCCATGCTGGCTACCAGCATCCCTCTCATCAGAACATTTTTTTCAAGTGGCTGCAGTCAGGTCAGTTATCTGCTAATGGTTCACACTACTATCCAAAGGGAGTCATGTTCATCATGAAACATTCTGGCTTTCGCAGAGAGATCCTTACATGGAGTACAAGACTGACAGGATCAAAACTCATCCCATACAAGAGTGGGAATTTCTTCACAGTCAGTTACCTCTGGGTACTCACTCGGGATAAGCAATGTCTCTGGTGAAAAAATATTGCCGTGATTACATGAGGCAGTTAACCTTTTCCCCTAGATGCTCACCTCATTCAGTCTACTAATTCTAAATATATATAGAAAATGAATTGCAGTCCATATCACTCCAAACACTTTACACAGTCGAGAACGTAACATGCACCAGAAGATTAAAACAACATCCCACCTTCTCTCAAACAACGTTCAACAATATAAGAAAGTTAAAAGACTACAGATGGCTACGAATCTGAAAAAAAAACCCACAAACGTTGCAGATTGAAATATTTGTAGCTTCAAATAAATCTACACAAAGACAAATAAAGGCCTTCATCATTTTTAATGATTTTAGGAGCCTTGTTAATCCCAAATGTAGTCAAGATTACAAGGTCAAGAGCTCTAATAGCAGGTCTTATGTAATTTACCCTTAATTATTATTATTAATTGATTTAATATTCATCCTAGGATATACCCAGTGCTCTTGAGAGTGTAATGAGGACCGGCACGCTGATGAACAAAAAGCATTCTCATTTTAAATGTAGCTTCATTATCACCCACGCCATGGAAGTGCTTCAGTGTACTGCAGATGTCCGGAGTAGATAATATCTGCGTGAACCAATGTTCTCTGTTAACAAAGCAGTTCTTGTGAAATCAAAGGCTTGCACCATAAACATGAGATGACAAGGTGCTTGGACAGTCAAGGGGAACATGTACCACCAGAAGATTTACAGGAGCTTCAGCTAGCTTAATTAGAGAAAAGCTTCTTGAGGATAATAAACCAACTTTGAAGAAGAGATGAGCTACTGAATACTGTTAGCATGAATCGACGTGTGTGCTGTGCAGCACCCTGTTAGGGCAGCCTGCTTTTAAACCCAGATGATTCCACTAATTAGCAAGCTTACATACATTACCATTAAAGTATTCAGAGAGTTTCTAAAAGTTTAAAACCACTAACTACGCGGCAACTTTCGAAATGTCCTGTTAGAGGTAATGAATGGCACTTGTAGAAGGGAAAGGGAAATATGCACATTACTGTGCTCCCCACATTGCTGCGACAGAGCTGCTGCCAGTAAGTTACTTTATTATTCCCCGTTCAGGCAGCCACTTGCAATATGAACAGCTCTTGCAAGGAATGGCATGAGGAACCAGGCCTGGACAATTGGAGAAGTTGGTGTAGTAGCAAGGGGGGGGGAGAACAGGGAGAACAGGAACTCCTGTTCTCCTGTTACTAGAACAGGTTGCCCAGAGAGATGGTGGATGCTCCATCCCTGGAGACGTTCAAGGCCAGATTGGACGAGGCCCTGAGCAACCTGATCTAGTTGGAGATATCCCTGTTCCTTGCAGGGGTGTTGGACTAGATGACCTTTGAAGGTCCCTTCCAGCCCTAACCATTCTATGATTCTATGAACAGATAAAGAAGGATTAAAGGACTAGGGGAGAGTCAACCAAACAGAGAAACTTTTAAAATAAAAACCCACACGCTTCAAAACACATCAAATATGTGTTCTGGAACTAGAGAGGTGCAGGTCAGGGTAAATCAAGGCAAATCATCTCCTTCCATGCAGACACTAAGCTTTTTCTAACTAATGGTGAGAACTTCTACACACTTTGACATCCTCTTTCCCTGTGCAGAGGAAGAAAAGACAATCGGAGTTATAAAAAAAGAACTTCTCCGTCCCAACCCATGCATGTTGTTAATCTTTGCACACTGTGACACACATGTATTGCCCAACGTGGGTGTTCACAGCATGGGGGCAACACAGTCCCACCCACCTGATGCTCTCTCTAATACACCACGGCACATCTGCAGCCTTTTCCCGCTCGCAGAGGTAAGGCTCGCACTCCTAGCAATGAGCTGTGCAGCTTATAATCTTGATTAAATCAGAATGCCTGGGACCTGATGGAACTGAGAAGCTGGCCTCTGGATTTCAAGTAGGTGATGCCCATAACTGCCTTCCCACAACAGAGAGAAAAAGCTGTGCTTTTTCACCGCTTTACAGAGGCTGGCAACGCCATCGGTGGCCAACCATAAATGCAGAGTCCTGACCTTATAGCCTGGCACGTAACTACAAAAATAAATGGTTTTCAAATATTTGGCATTCTAAATGTACTTATTCATTCGTGGAAGCACTCTCCACGTGCAGGACACTCTACAGGACACCTGTGAAGGTACAGCATCTGCCTGGAGGAGCTCACTCCAGGCTGGACAAAGATTACTGTACGGAGGTTAGGGAACGGGCTACAAAAGGGATTGTTTGCAGTTTTTCAGCCTGCGCTTTTCTTCTGTTAATAATTGAAGATCTTAAACAGCTCCTAGTATTTATTTTAAAAGCACTGCAGTTTACCTTTAAAAGAAAACCTCTTGGCTGCACTCCATTGGCTGACACTGACTCCATAAATGTTTCAGTAAGCAAAACACCATTAATGCCATTCCCTGGGCTCACAGAATTTTGCGTTTATTTAAACTGATAAAGCGTTTTAAATATTTATTACATGTGAACACCAATGCTTTTTATACCAGGTCAACTCCTTTTCAGCCTCTAGAGGACTGTGTCAAGTCAAAGGTTCAGGAGACAACTGGGGAATGGAGGGAATGAGGAAGAGAAGGAAAGGAGCTTATACCATTCTCAAAGCTATGGGATGTTAGGGATGCTGCAAGTGTTTTAGAGCTATTACATGATGCTATATTCTTCTCTCAGGAAGACAATCATGAAAGGGGTTGGTTGCTGTCTCATCAATTCAGCCTATTATTGAAGAACGTGCTTATCTGTAAGCATGTAAGTGTCTGCACCTAAAGCAATGGGATTACCTACACACCCCATCGTGTACTTACAAGCTTTTGTTGGATTTTGACCAATGGTCAGCAAGATGGCACAAAAAAAACCCCACGTGCACTCGACCCAGCTGCTAAAATGTACTTGGCATTGCTGTGTTGTGGCACATATCCAGGGAAACTAATGGTAGGTCGGTCTCAGAAAAAAACATTTGGGCCTTTCCAAGCACAGCTCCATCTCACATTTTCACATGCCTTCAATTTTGGATCAAACTTGGTTTGCTGGAC